TCCTGGCTTCCAGGTTCGTCTAGTCTTAAACGGATATCAAGTAATGTCCTTGGAGGTAAAAAGCAGCAGTACCGACTGGTCTATAAAATATGATGCACCTCTGAAGTTTAAAAAAAAGAAGTCCCCCTTTTTTTTTTAAATTGTTTAAAAACACTAAAAACAAAAACAAACAAAAAAAAAAAAGAAAGAAACGTAGACCATAACTAGATATTAGCACACGCAATTCCGTGTCCCCGTGTAGGTTGGTGTGCTGGTCGGCATATTAACAACCTGCGATATGCTGAAGATATGGTTTTGACCGCCGAAAAATTCAACACACACTGCAAGAAAAGATGCACATAAGGTTGAGAAATCATATTTCCCTGCATTCTGCGGACACCCCCTACATCCCCTCCCAATCGTACTTATAAGCTCCTTTGTTGTCAATGTTCGTGCTTTGAAAAAAAAAGTCAAGATCTTCTCTCATTGTCTCTATCTTTCTCTCTTTCCAAAACTGTTTGTAGTAGCCATAAAATGTTCTAGTGTTCTTCTCGTACGTATTTCTCTTTTTTTTTTTAAAAACCATCATCATCATTTCCACTTCTATTTGGATTTTGATCTACGCTTGATGGACAGCTGTGGCTATTGTCATTCCGTGCCGCTGTAGAAGCACTTTAATGTCATCAATCCATTTCTCCTCGGGCGGCGGCCTCTTGCTTTCACTTCAGATCTTTGTAGCGCCAGCGTTTGTAGTTCTGGTTGCATTCTTACTAGATGAAGGTTAGTTGCGTATCCTTTACAGGACGTTGCAGAACCAACCCCAACGGTTTTTCTAGGCAAATTTACGTCCAGTAGTTTGCCACTGCTACTGGACGGTCGGCTTCTTTGATACCACTGTCGAAACCAACGCAAGGCGCATGGCCCGCAGCTGGGATCAAACCCGGCATTCCTGCATTACAAAGCGTTCGCATCGACTTAGCCACAGAGCCGACTCTTAGTAGATGACCAAATCATTATATGTTCTGTTTCGCAATGACTTTGTTGCATGGTCTAAAAATAACGACTATTTGAAGCTGAGATATGTTGTCGGTGTTGATGTAGTTTTTTTTTTTTTTTTTTATTATTATTTAGCCAGATCATTTTAGTTGTCCTGTGAATTGGAGAGAACAATAAAGGAGGTGTATATGCCTGGGAAGAGAGGAAGGTAAAGGCCAAAGAGAAGATGGCTGCAGGAAGTGGGTGTATAGGACGCGGGTAATCTTGCTTGTGATCGAGAAGTTTTCCGGAGGGTTATGCAACGGGCTGAGGAATTGTCAAAATTCTTGTGTATAACCACATTTCCGGCGAATCAGGCGACTCTGAAATACTTTTTAAATATTTAAAGGGGAAAAAAAAATGTTTTAGGGCTTATGTTTCAGAATCCGTGTATGTACACAGTGCTATACCACTGTCTATCGTCGTTGTGTCGCCGGAATACTGTTTTCCCACAGGTCATATGTTCCCATTTCGGTCTGTCAGATACCTTCAACTATATACATTAAATATATACTTTATGTTCCTTAACCTTTTAATAATTCAACCATATACTTAAACTATATACTTTATGTTCTTTAACCTTTTAACATTTCAACCATATACTTTAAATATATACTTTATGTTCCTTAACCTTTTAACAGTTCAACTATATACTTTAAATATATACTTTATTTTCCTTAACATTTTAACACTTCAACTTTATACTTTAAATATATATATATATATATATATATATACTTTATGTTCCTTAACCTTTTAACACTTTAACTATATACTTTAAATATATACTTTATGTTGCTTAACCTTTTAACACTTCAACCATATACTTTAAATATATACTTTATGTTCCTTAACCTTTTAACACTTCAACCATATACTTTAAATATATACTTTGTGTTCCTTAACCTTTTAACGCTTTAAATATATACTTAATGTTCCTTAACCTTTTAACACTTCAACTATATACTTTAAATATATACTTTATGTGCCTTAACCTTTTAACGCTTCAACTATATACTTTAAATATATACTTTATATTCCTTAACCTTTTAACACTTCAACTATATACTTTAAATATATACTTTATGTTACTCAAACTTTTCAACACCTCGGCCCACTAACAACAACAAAAGATATAATTTTGAGGCCCACCGGACATATATTTCATTTAATGTTTTTGATGCAGCTAAATGTAGTTTCTGGGAGTTGTACCTATTTGATTCTCATCCCCGAGTTGTCAACCCTACAGCCTGCAAGCCTACTACCATACGTTTTGCATGATTCGATAAACAGTTTTGGTGGAACATCTGAAGGTTTCCGCTGCCAAACAGTTGAGGGACACTGCAAGGCAACACTAGCATTTAGTGTCTGCTAAGTGTTTCATCAAGGAAGTGTCACGTTCAGTAGTTTGCCTTTCCGCACTCAACTGTACGACGCTCATATCGTAACAATCAAACGGTCGATGTGTACATGCTAAATCCGTGTACCCGGTTTAACAAACTCCCTTCAGTCCACGGTTTTAGTCGCTTTGTGTAGATCCAAATCTGAGGCATAAGTAATGTAGGTACAGTGAACATCAAAGAAAAAGCTAATTTATCGTTAACTTGACCGAGCCAGTCACCACAACCCAGATTTGCATGTCCGCAGGCCGAGTTTTTAATTTCCTTTGTTAAAACACTTTTTATTGCAAAGACAGCTCTCTCTTTTATCTCGCGGAAACATTTATGGCTGAAGTTTTGATACAGGAATCTGACGAAACGCTCCATTTGCGTATAAAGTCCTGCAAGTTGGTACTCTCTCTTACTGCTCGTATTATACTGTTACTTTTGACATTTGAAATTTGAACTAGGGGTTCATCATCATGTAGCAGGTCCTTTGCAGAACGTCGCTCTCATCACAGTTTGCCTGAAAGACACCCGGTCTCTCGCCAGCTCTCCCGCCTCATGTACTTTCATACTCAAGGAGTCACTTATATCCTGTGCCCATCTTCTTGTCGGTCAGCTCCTGCCTCTCCTAGGGGTTAGAATATTTAAAATGAGCAATATCTAACCGAGTCAATTATCTCCCTTCTGTGATGTGTTATTGGGTCCTAGCTGCTTTTGAAAAATACAATAAAATAAAAACATAAAAATATAGTCTCTGAACACGAACCTTCATTATTTTAAATTGTAAACTGCATTATGAGCATAAATATATATAGTAGCTTTCCCTGTTTTTACAGCCCCAGTGGCTGGATAGTCACATTCGTCTTTTTGCCGAGGATAAAGTAAATGTCCGGTTTTGCTAAGATGGAATGTACAGCCCACTAGTGTCAACTCAGCCCATCCTTTGCCACTAAGTCCTTCTGGGTCATTTTATTTCCTCCCAATCACCTCATTTATTATCGATATCACCATTTGAAAAAAATGATGTGAGTGAAAGAGACAGAGAGAGAGAGAGAGAGCGAGAGAGAGAGAGAGAGAGAGAGAGAGAGAGAGAGAGAGAGAGAGAGAGAGAGAGAGAGAGAGAGAGAGAGGGGGGGGGGAGTATATGTGTGTGTGCGTTCTGTTATTTCTCTGGCCCTGAGGTTTCAAGTGAAAGGAACTCTAAACAAATTGTTATCAGATTTTCTTAGTGTGAGTCCTATCCAAAACCAGCGTCTTTACTTCACCTGAGAAACATAGCTGGCTCCTAAAAACTTTTTGGTTTTATCTGCTCGTAACAATAATTAAAAACATACATTTATCGTGTACAGACCGAATCTATACAAATTACTGACACAATGTCTGCAGGAAAAGAGCGCGAGAGGGGCCAAGACAATGATTTGACCAACAGGAACCGGAACTTTTTTTTTAAAAATCTATGCTGTGGTGTAGTGGCTAGATGCGTTTTCGATCCGAATGTCTAGGGTTCAAATTCTCACCAAGGCAGATTATTTTCCTAAAAACCGACCTTAGCTCCAAGGTCGATCCAACCACAAAATGGACACCAGGTAAGGTCCTAGAGAGTAGAGGTGGCGGTCGTGAGACTGACCACTTCACCCATCGAGTGTTGATTTCTCTTTAAAAAAGGGTCTAGCACCATATGTCGCCATGCATCAAAACCGTAAACGAGTCCATATGGTTGTGGGCTGGATCCGGAAACGTGTGTAAACGTACGCTTGAGATACGACAGCCGTGTATTTACACAGTTGTTGATGGGCGTTTTACTGATACATTTCAGTTTTATTTTACCAGTGTTATTAACATGTGTTTATTTGTCTACAACATCTGTTGAGCGCATGCAGGTTAGAGAACTAAGAGGTGTACAAGTTTAGGGTGGGGACGACAGGGTGGATTCAAAGGTGCAGGGTAGTGTAGAATAGCGTAACAGAGGCAAATCAATGGTCATAGCAAGTGATGAATGCAAGCTTTGATAGGACTAGACGACTGCTGGTTGGGGAGGGGGGGGGGGGTTGGGGTGGGTCAGTGCAGCAGCAGAAGATGAGGAAGAAGAAGACGAAGACAGAGAAGAGGAGAAAGAGGATAATGATGATGATGAGACGTACTCCTACACTGAAGACTACGCTGCTAACAGACCGGCCATCTGACCAGTTCCATCCTCAATTAAAACAGCTGTCAACACACAGGGACACTTCGGTTGCAAGATAACATTCATCAAGGCTGCTGGCTCCCTGATATAAGACTTTCTGACAGAAGCCTCGAAGCCAAGAAGAAGAAGAAGAAGAAGAAGAAGAAGAAGAAGAAGAAGAAGAAGAAGAAGAAGAAGAAGAAGAAGAAGAAGAAGAAGAAGAAAGAAAGAAAGAAAGAAAGAAGAAGAAAGAAAGAAAGAAAGAAAAAGAAAGAAAAGAAAGAAGAAAGAAAAAGAAAGAAAGAAAGAAAGAAAGAAAGAAAGAAAGAAAGAAAGAAAGAAAGAAAGAAAGAAAGAAAGAAAGAAAGAAAGAAAGAAAGAAAGAAAGAAAGAAAGAAAGAAAGAAAGAAATCTTCACTGATCATTCTGTTACCTACCATTTCACGAACAGATCTCCAAACAGACAAGTAAACACATCACTTGTCGGGTCCATTCGAGGGCGTGGGTGATGAGGCACTGCATACGCGGAGTAATCTGGGAACATCCTTGGTTGCCGGGAATCGCAGAACGACAACATTCTGACTGATTTTGGCAGAAGTCGTTTTGGCGGTAAAATAAATGGAAATCCAAGTACGTTCGCGAGACTTCAGCCTATTCTGGGCGACTTCTGGCTCAAACCCTAGCAGTACAAAACCAAACCGGCCGGAAACCTATGCGTCGAACGCATGTCCTTGTCACAATTTGTATTTCAAACGGTCACTAAACAAAGTTCCCAGAATTCTGAATTCCGATGCAAACAAATAATGCGTTGAAACTAAAGTTATGAGAAACTTCTGTTTAAAAAGTAAACAAATAAATCTATCACAGTTTTAAAAAAATATAATAAATAAAGATAATTAATAGAACACATTAGGGGCGGCAACAAGGACCGGATTTAAACTCGATGAGGTCCGAAGATAATATAAAGTTATGAGGCCCCTACAGTTTAAAATTACAACAGCTAATTCTACAAACTTTAAAATATATACATGATGGGAATATACTGTCGTTTAATGTAGGGCACACAAAAAAATTATTAAAAAAAATGTTTCTACAAAATCCCAAAAAAAAAAAAAAAAAACATTATAAAAACCTCTTAAAGGCTTTATTACACGAAAACGAAGACACACATAGATCATTACGGTCTGAGGAAAATGGCGCTGCGAGGAGTTAGCAAGGGATCTGGCCGACGTTCAACACTCAAAGGAAGGGCGAGACGGAAATACAATCAGACAGTTACCGGTACTATCTGAATTGGAACTTTTCGTTCGCTGCTGAAGATGGGGACGGGGCGCTTATTTGAGTGTCCCGAGTACTATGATGTCGCTAATTAATTCAACATTCTACATTCAAGATATATACTGTAGCTGCTGCTGCTATTCCTGCTACTACAATTAGTAATAAAAATAATATTAATAACATCAAGCCTACGACTACGCCTATACTATTACTACGATTATTATTCTGCTACTGATATTACTACTGATAATATTGCTGCTGCTGCTGCTGCTGCTACTACAACTACTCTAACTATTAATATTAGCATAGACAAAACCCCGACCTTGATGACAACACTGTAGCCACATTTCCTCTGTTCTCAAATCGAGACAAGCGTTACAGATTTTCTGTTATTTTGTCGTTTCTACCTAACAACGACTGTAATCAAATTGAAGTTTCTTGATACTCGATGACGTGCCATCCACGTAAGCAGTCGAGTATAACACTACAGTACCTCGTATACCGAATTTTAAAGCAACAAAAATAACAGATAATACTATGAAAATAGTCAATAATAATGATGCTATTAAAATAACAACATATGCTGCTGCTGCTGCTGCTGCTACTACTACTACTGCTGCTACTGCTACCAACTACTAGCTACTACTTCTAATAGTACCACTAAAATCATACCAATTATAAAAATCATTAGGGTATCCTTAATATCAAAAAATAATATTATCAATATTACCCAAATATTGCTGCTGTAATTAAAGCTGCTTCCTCTGTTGGCACTACTACCACCACGAATAATAATAATGATAATAATAATAATAGCTGTTGTAGTAGTAGTAATAATAATAATACAGGAACAACAAAGGAAAATGTTGCTGCTACCACATCTTGAACAATTCCTACCCTATTTGCGGCTTTTAAAATACTAATATTTAGAAAAAGAAAACCTAAAACTTTCACGAAATATTGAACCTATATAATCACACCAATGTCATATCAAAAACCTAAAAACACAACTATCCTCGCAACGCTCCTAGGATGAGGAAAATCCCCACAACTGCTCTAACATGATATGGTATCTCTGTGCTTACACCAGTTCGGTACAGCGATCTAATTTTAGGCAGGGAAATTTCCACCAGCAACAAACTTGTGCGTTCAAAAGTTGACTCAGTTTGGATGTCCGTAAACTAGAACTACGTTATGTACATAGGAGTGGTCCCTTGCCCACACACACACATGACTTCTACATCTGGCGATTTCTTTTACACAGCTTCTCATTTGGCATTGTTTCAAATTATAGTTTAACTCTTTACAGGCGAAAGATCGGTAATTTCTTTAAAGCGATGGGAATTTTTAGCAGATCTTTGTCTACTGTCCAACCAGCTATTGAAAAAAAAAAAAAAAGTTTCTTTTAAATTATGTACAGCATTAAGGATCCCTGTCCACGCCATCGGGCTATTTAGGCATGTAGGGCTAGACCTATATTTTATAGACCAATCAGCTCATTGTGGGTGATGTGGTCAACACTAGGCCGGCCGCCCTTACGTCCCAGGACTTTACCGCGTACACATTTAAGACTTTGTCGACCTGTGCCAGCCAAGGTCATTTTCGAAAAAAAAAAAAAGTTATACTCTGTCAGGAGCTCAACCGATGACTTTCGGATCCACAGGCAAGCGTCTAGCCGCTACACCAGGAGAGCTTCCATATAAAGTAAAGCCTTTAATAAAGTTGAAAAAATGAAAAGCTAAGAAATTTCACGAGAGAGAGAGAGAGAGAGAGAGAGAGAGAGAGAGAGAGAGAGAGAGAGAGAGAGAAAGAGAGAGAGAGAGAGAGAGAGAGAGGGGGGGGGGCGCCTATTTGTATAGGCCTCTCGGATTCTGTAGGTACAATCACACTGGCTTCCTTATTTCCAAGGGGATTGCCTGGTTTTAAACTGAGTCTGGTTGTAAACTGAGGCTGGTTGTAAACTGAGTCTGGTTGTAAACTGAGGCTGGTTTTAAACTGAGGCTGGTTGTAAACTGAGGCTGGTTGTAAACTGAGGCTGGTGATAAACTGAGGCTGGTTGTAAACTGAGGCTGGTTGTAAACTGAGGCTGGTTGTAAACTGAGGCTGGTGGTAAACTGAAGCTGGTGATAAACTGAGGCTGGTTGTAAACTGAGTCTGGTTGTAAACTGAGGCTGGTTGTAAACTGAGGCTGGTTGTAAACTGAGGCTGGTTGTAAACTGAGTCTGGTTGTAAACTGAGGCTGGTTTTAAACTGAGGCTGGTTGTAAACTGAGGCTGGTTGGCATTTTAAAAAAGTGACTGGAAGTGTCCACTGTGGACGCCAGCGTTTTGTCGTGTGATCAGATCAAGTGAGGAAAAATTAAGGGAACATCTGACGCGATGACTGGAGATTCGTGAGAAAGAATCAATAACACGTTTGTTCGCACTGAAAGAGTTGAAGTACTATAAAAGGCCTAAATTTCTAACACAGACACTGTGTGTAAATAAGACAACTAGTAAAAAAAAAAAAGCATGAGTTAACATAACAGCAGACTGAAGTAAGAGATACCGGAACTCAACACTGCAATGTAGGCTTTGTCGACTCAAACAGGACTAGGATGCTACAGCAGGATCAGACAAGCCATTATGTCAGAACAAAATTACGAGTAACTTGTATTATTGAAAGAGCAGGGTTGGTGTAGTACTTTCAAGCCTTCAAAGACTAGTGGACCCACGAGTGTACTGTTTATAGAGGGGTGTGTTTGTGTTTTCTAGTAGACTCTGAAAAATATTAGCTAAAATATTAGCTTGGAAATTAAAGGTAACGAAAACATGTCTTAAAAACAGAGGATCGAAAAATATTCTATGAATACAATGGATCAATAAACATTCTATGTATACAGTTGATCGAGAAACATTCTATGAATACAGTTGATCGGGAACAATTCTATGAATACAGTACTTGAAGCACTCCAGTCTACGAAAATACCAGAATTGCAAACACTGCTGACACAACTTAGCCTTCAGCAAAGAGTTGTAATGCAGTGGATACCATCACATTGTGGAGTGCCTGGAAATGGGAAAGCTGATCAACTGGCAGGAGAAGGTGCGACAAAAGTGCAGCCGGATGTACCAGCCACATACCACCAAAAGAAAAGAATCATTAAATCGATCAGGAAACCACCAGCCCCAGCACAAGACGACTATTTTATTTTGGACAGATCAGAACAAGCCATCAGATCAGAACAAGTCATTATCCTCCGCCTCAGAACAGGGCACAACCGAATACGTAACCACATGTACACAAAATTCAAGATAGGCGTATCAGCCGTGTGCACCTGTGGAAAGGTGCCCCAGACAGCAGAGCATGTACTCCAGGACTGCACAGAATTTGACACATTAAGGCAAACCTTTTGGCCAGAAAGAAAACAGTGGAAAGTAAACTCTATGGACCACTGAATGAATTAACAACAACAGTGAAATTTATACAAAGACAAAATTGCTGATATAGACCACTTATTTCAGGCGAACGAAAAAAAAGAAGAAGAAGTGGATCGAGAAACATTCTATGAATACAGTAGATCGATAAACATTCTATTAATACAGTGGATCATGAAACATTCTATGAATACAGTGGATCGATGAACATTATATAAATACAGTGGATAGAGAAACATTCTGTGAATACAGTCGATTGATAAAACATTCTATAAATACAGTGGATCGAGCGGCATTCTATGAATACAGTGGATCGATAAACATTCATAAATACAGTGGATCGAGAAACATTCTATGAATACAGTGGATCGAGAAACATTCTATGAATACAGTAGACCAAGAACCATTCTATGAATACAGTAGACCAAGAACTATTCTATGAATACAGTGGATCGAGAAACATTCTATGAATACAGTAGACCAAGAACCATTCTATGAATACAGTGGATCGAGAAACATTCTATGAATACAGTAGACCAAGAACCATTCTATGAATACAGTAGACCAAGAACCATTCTATGAATACAGTAGACCAAGAACCATTCTATGAATACAGTAGACCAAGAACCATTCTATGAATACAGTAGACCAAGAACCATTCTATGAATGCAGTAGACCAAGAACCATTCTATGAAAACAGTGGATCGATAAACATTCTATAAATACAGTGGATCGAGAAACATTCTATAAATACAGTGGATCGAGAAACATTCTATAAATACAGTGGATCGAGAAATATTCTAAAAATACAGTGGATCGAGAAACATTCTATAAATACAGTGGATCGAGAAATATTATATAAATACAGTGGATCGAGAAACAT